GGCCAACATGGTGAAACGCCATCTCCATTAAAAATAAAAAAAAATTAGCCAGGTGTGGCAGTGGGTGCCTGTAATCCCAGCTACTTGGGAGACTGAGGCAGGACAATCACTTGAACCCAAGAGGCAGAGGTTGCAGTGAGTCGAGATCACACCATTGCACTCCAGCCTGGGCAACAAGAGCGAAACTCCATCTCAGAGAAAAAAAAATCAAGTCTCTGAGATTTGTGGGATACCATCAAGCATATCAAAACATGTAAAGTCTCAAGAAAGAAAAGAAACAGGCAGAAAGAATACATGAAGAAATACTGACAAAAGACTTCCTAATTTCGATGAAAAGCATTAATCTGCACATTTAAGATGCTCGAATTCCAAACAGGATAAACTCAAGGAGATTTTCATCTAGAAATATGATGATTTTCATCTAGAAATACTGAAAACCAAAGGCAAAGAGAAAACTTTAAAGCAAGAAAAAGTGATTGATTCATCATACACTAGGATCCTCAATAAGATTAACAACTGACTCCTCATCAGACACATGGAGGCCAGAGGGCAAATGAACGACATATTCAAAGTGCTGGAAAAAAAAAAAAAACCCCACAAAGAATTCTATATCCAGCAAAACTATCCTTCAAAACCAAACAAAAACTTAAGGTATTCTTAGATTAAAAAAAAAAAATTTATCACTAACAGACTTCCCCTACAAGAAATACTAAAAGGCATCTTTAAGGCTGAAATGAAGAAACCCTAGACAGCACTCTGAAACTACACAAAGAAATCAAGAACCAGTAAAGGTAATTATATAGGTAAATGTAAAATATAACAAATGTATTTTGTTGTTACAACTCTTTTTTCTTCCTATTCAATATAAAAAAACTGTTGTGATATAAATATATATATTTAGTCTTTGTCCTAGGTTTCTGGCACAGAGTTCAAAACTGCTGGAGTTTTCTGAGTGACAAGAATGTCTTTTATTATTCATAACGATCCCCTTTCTACAATATCTGGTTTTATGTTAATGAAGACAAAAAATCATGATCCAACTATCTACTGTTTATAAGAGACAGCTTTTAGATTCCAAGCCACAAATAAGCTGAAAATAAAAGGATGGAAATTTATCTAGTCAAAAGAGAATTCTTTATTTCTCCTTTCCTAGCAAGCCAGAGGGAGTATAATGCAACAGCAACACATCAAACAAACCAACTAAACATATTACTAAATCTAAACACAGGCTGATTATCCTTTATCCAAAATGCTTGGGAACAGAAGTGTTTTGGATTTCAAATTTTTAAGACATTTGAATATCTGCATTATACTTACAGGTTCAGCTTCCCTAATCCAGAAATCCAAAATGCTCTAAAGCACATTTGCTTTGAGCATCATGTCAACACACAAAACAGTTTTGGGTTTTGGAACATTTTAGATTTCATATTAGAGATACTCAACATGTAAATAATGACAGTTAAAAAAAAAAAAACAAACATTTTAAGTAACCACAAGTCAAATTTCTGATGATACTGACATGGGAGTAAAGGAAGAGAAAACAGAAGCTTGCTAGTATTTTTTTTTTAATTAAGTGGGAGAATAAAGATACTGATAAACTCTTTTATGAGAAATGTGCCACTGAAAATTTTAAGATAATCACTAGAATAGGACTAAATATAACTTTCAACCTATAGAAAAAACAGAATGAGAAAACCTTGGTTAACAGCAACAGAAAATAGAAAGAGGAGGAGGAATCAAGTAAAAAGTATAATAGTAGAAAACAAAACAGTAAATGTGAACTGCTTAAACTTCATCTGTTTAAACTCCTTTATTTCACATCGAATTGAAAAAAAATTAAACAAAAACATGGGTCAGAAATAAAAAAAATAAGAAAGCTTTAAAATATAGGAAGAAAAAAACTGATATAATTACAAGGAAAAATAGACAAATCTATACTCATAAAAGGAGATACTGACATCTTAAAAATAACTAAATCATGCCAGGTACTGTTAATTCTAGCACTTTGGGAGGCCAAAGCAGGTCAATCACTTGAGGTCAGGTGTTTGAGACTAGCCTGGCCAACATGGTGAAATCCAGTCTCTATTAAAAATACAAAAACTAGCCAGACGTGGTGATGCACACCTGTGGTCCCAGCTACTTGGGAGGCTGAGACGGAGGAATCGCTTCAACCCGGGAGGCAGAAGTAGCAGTAAGCTGAGACTACGCCACTACACTCCAGCCTGGGAGACAGAGCAAGACTCAATCTTAAAACAGTAACAACAACAAAAACTAAATCAAGTAGGTTAACAAAAAAGTAGAACATTTTAGTAATATAATTATATATAATTATAGTAGGCATGTTCTAACGTATGTACGTATGTTTATATCTATCTCCATACTTGAAGACAGAATGTACGTTCTTTTCAAATACATGAAGAATAGGTAAAAAATCAAATATACAATAAAAGCAAAAAAGTCTCAAAAAATTCTTTATAAAAGTCATAAAGCCACATTTATTGATCATTAAGCAGTGTAAGTAGAACCTGACATTTTTTCAAAAGCCTAAAAAATTTCACATCCACAGAAATTAAAACAATAAGAACTGCTAGGTAACCTCAAATTAATGAAAACATTTAAATGAGAATTATATATTAAACTGAAAAAAAGAGCCTACTTATCAACACATATGAGATATAGCCAAAAGATACCCAGAAAAAATTTATATCCTATGATGCATTTATTAAAAATTAGGAAAGGTTAAAAACAAAAGAAACACACTTTTTACAATTCAAGAATGTTAAAATCCTCAAAGCAGAAAAAAATGAATTAAGAAAATTAAAGAAGAAATTAAATAGCCAACAAAAAATAAAGTTGAGTTAAAAAAGATTAGTTGAAAGACTTACAAAAGTGATAAGCCCTGGCAAATATGATAAGGGGAAAAAATGGATACACAAATATCAGTGATAGGAAGAGAAGAAATATAAATGACAGAAACTCACCCGACAAGTATTAAATTACTTACCAGGCCTGCATAAGCCTGAAAACAAAACCAGTAAGAATAGAATAAAAAATAAAATCATAGGTCAATCTCACAAAGTTCAAAAAATCCTAAATACAAAATTTTCTAGTTGAATACGGCAATATATTAAAACATTAAGTAAAATTTATGACAAGAATGCAAGGGAAGTTCAAGATGAGGCAATCTACCAACCTTTTATTTGTGTCTGAGGATATAGGATGAGTTTTTATGTCTTTTTCTTCCTAACCTTAATAAAATAATAGAAATGGAGTAAAAAGGGTACCATCCCATGAGGACAAAAGACAGAGAAAAGAGATCAGTAAATGGAAAGTTTAATAAATACTTTGAAGATGAAAAAACAAATAACTAGTTTAGCAGTTTATTATAGGAAACGTAGTGTAAAGAATGAGTGAAAAAGAAAGGGATGTGAAAAGCTGATTATTCCCTCTAAAAATAAATCAAATAAAAAACACAAAGATTCTTAGGACCAGGAAATGCCAAGTACAAACGACATCACATAGAATGCAATTATTCCTACCCTCCTTATCCCAATCCCCTCTTACCCCAACATACACAACCCTAAGCACATTAACACTGACAACCAATCTTCTTCTGTCACCATTTGTGGTTCTTTGGAGAAATTAAATGAGATGCCTAGGATTTAAAATAAAGGGATAGCAAAAGGGGTGAGGCTAAAAACTAGGAGATTAACATAATGCTTCAACCACTAGAAATGCATGAAGTTACATGTCTACCTCCAAGGCAGGTAATTTCAAAATTTAGTCTCAGAAGGGTCCTGGAAAATAGAAACACACATATATTTGGGCACAGCAAAAACAGCCCACTTTCTTACCTAATCATCCTAACATAATTTTGCCATTTATGCACAAAAAAATTTCTAATCAGTCTTTCAATGCCTTACTCTCAAACATAAAGAAACAACCAAAGATGCCCGGATAAACAAGGAAAAACTCCAGGAAGAAAGCAAGAAACCAAAATGAGAAAAGAAAAAAAAATTACTAAGAAGAAAAAAGGAAAAAAAAATCTTCAAAAACTTTTAGTTTATTTTCTCAGATTAAGAAGCTGCATACATCAAAAACAGGGTATTACAAATTAAAAGATTTTTCTTTAGCAATAAATTACCTGCAGTAAGCTAAGTTTCACAACGTTAACTATTTTCATTTCTAGAAATTAGAGCTATAAACCAAGATTACATCAAAACAGATTAAAACTCAACAATAAAAATATAATAAAGATGAAAAGTTCCAGTCAGGGGCAGTGGCTCAATCCTGTAATTCCAGCACTTTGGGAAGCCCAGGCAGGTGGATAGCTTGAGCTCAGGAGTTCAAGGCAAGGCGGAGCAACACAGCAAAAACCCAACTCTACAAAAATTCAAAAAAGCTGGGTGTGGTGGCATGCACTGTGGTCCCAGCTACTCAGAAGGCTGAGGTGGAAGGAACCTGCAAGGTGGAGACTGCAGTGAGCCAAGATCACGCCACTATACTCCAACCTGGGTTAACAGAATAAGACCCCGTGTCAGAAAAAAATTAAAAAAAAAAAGAAAAACGAAAAGCTCCATAGTTTAAGTATACTTTGTCTTATTAATTTCAATCATGCATAAAGGTATACAGTTTTCTATATAAATGTCTTCTCTCATTTTTCAAAATGAAAGATTTCTCTGTTTAAAAAAAATAAGAATATGTCCCTTAGAGTTTAATTTTTGCTAATAAGGTAACTAAATCCATCATTATCCTATTAAAAAACTACAGTCACTCAGCTATGAAGTTAAGGCATAGCTATTAGTCTACTAGCAGTTTTTGGAAATTTTTCCCAATTGTCCTCCACTATACTTCCAAATCTTACTCTCCCTCAAATTAAGAAATAGAGAAAGCAGAGGATCTCGGCTGTTCTCCAACAAGAGTCTGTCCCCTAATCCAGATTTAAAAACAAAAGTTAGAGCAAATTTTGATGTAATAAAAATTTTAGTATGAAATCTTACATGTTTATCTTTCCTTTCTATAACATCTTGCTTCTGTTTGCATTTTTGAGATGCCTCCTTAATATCTGTTGCCTGTAAAATTAAACCAGAGGGGGAGGGGATAGTTAGTTAAAAACTCACACAAGCAAGTTATATGGCCCTGCCCATTCAAATACTTAGTTAACCCACAACAATTTATTTCAAATAAAATCCATAATTATCAACAAAATACCAAGTTATTTGCACATCGATGAAGTTATTCCTACTGATATTAATAAAGTTGCAGTAATATGCATGCATGTTTTTCTCTTTACATTTATTTTCCTGTCTTATTTTATCTGATCCTAAAAACAACCCTACAGAATAATCAGGACAAATATTACTAACTGATAGGGCTCAAAAGAGGCCAACTAACCTGTATATATAGCTAAAAAATGGTAACTAATATCCAAAATCAGGTCTTACTTCAAATATAGAGTTCTCGCTAACAATCCAAGTATGTTACCTCCTTGATGTTTTTCATTAACACATAAAACACATACATGACATATTATGGATACTTATTACACATCATTAACACCTACAATATGTAACACCTACAATATAATATATAATTCAAACAAGAGAGAATAGGGCTGTAGAGAAAAGAATTAACATTACAACCAAAGCTACTATTCCTAGAAAGGCTTGTTTGCAAGGTTGATCCTTGGCTGTTATCTGGAAACTTGGATTTTGGGAGTATTTCTACCATTTCCTAACTGATAAGAGTGGCTCACTGTGCATGTCTGTACAAACAATTTGGCTGATGTGGAACATGTGCTTTCCTTCTTGGATTCTGGAAGTTTAGTATGTGCTGCTAGAATGCCTAGTTGCCCAAAGCCTATAAAACTCTTGGGTTCTGAGTCTGTAATGCACTTCCCTGCAGAAAGGACTTTAAAAGTGTTGTCACAATTTGATGACAGTGGAATTATGCACATTCTGTGTGACTTTTCTAGGTGAGGACCCTTGGAAGCTTGTGCCTGGTTCCTTCTGGACTTTGTCCCCAGGGCCTTTTTCCCTTTATTGTAATAAATCTTAACTGTGAGGCCTTCTAGCAAATCACCAAACCCATGGTAGATCTCTGATGCCAAGAGACAACAATTTCTTCCCAGAGGGGAAAACTAATTCTCTGATGCTAGTAATACTGATGTATGTATGCTTAAATCATACATGCTTATCATGTAAGATAAAGGTTACTATTACTGTCCTCACCTGACTGAGGAGGAGAGTAAAGCTCAGAGAGACTAAATGATTTGCTCAAGGCCAGACAGCTGAGCTATGATTTAAACTATAGGTCTGTGTGACTCAAAAGCCTATGCCCCGTCCATAACACTTTACCATCTACCTGGAATTAAAAACAGAAAACAAAAGAAACCAACTACAGGTGCTGGAAAAAGTTTTCAGCTGGAACAGAACGAGCAGAAGAAGAACAGCATGAATACTGAACAAAATCAACCACTGTGTTCCTGTTGTGAGACTATGGGTGCTAATAACCACTTTTACTATAGACTGACATAAGTACCACTTCAGAATCCAGGATCACTTCTTTAGGAAAATAATTCTAAAACATCTCAAGCCATGTAGCTTTTCACATAAATAAAATAAGGCTCATGGATGCCTCGCAGTGTCATAATAGCTGGGCTTCTGTTATAAATAGACAAAACGAAGGATTTTAAATGCTTCCTTAATTAAGAGATTTGAAATTTATTATGTACATTTTTTTCTATAATGAAAGTAATTTTGTAGTAATAGAAGATTCAAGAACCAAAAAAGCAATTACAAATCCACAACTTAACTGCAACCAATCTTCATTAACATAACAATGACTGCCACCTATTAGTTCTATATTCTTGAGGAAGTCATGTTATCACTGGAATTCAGTATCTTTAACAATGAGAGGATGTACCTAGATAATATCTACAATCCCTTCTTCCCCTAACATTTAAAATGACCAGTGGCAACTCTATCAGAATCAGATCTAATCAAGTCCTAAAATCTTTATCTGATCTTGATAACTGCTTAATCTTCTAGACTTGAGTGCAATAATTTTAACTCACTTTAACCTGTATTAGAATTAAGACAGAGTGGAGCTTTTCTGACATGATAGTAGCAAAGTCAAAACTGTTGATTCACTTCCTCTGTTATAAAGTTTTCTTTCTATTTCTAAATATGGCCTTTCTCACTCAGTAAGCATTGGTCAACACGTACCATTCTAGCTCAAGAAATCATTTTTCTGACTTTCAGGTGCCTAAAAAGATAAAGTACAAGCACATCTCGAAATCAAAGAGCTTCTTTTTTACAAACAGAAGATAAAAGTTATATTAATCAAACCTGTATAGTGAATGTCCTTTATGATATGGCAATCTTAAATTCAGTAACAAAAAACCTGAAGTAGCATATTTTCATGAGAATAAAACACAATCTTTAAAAATAGAGAAGATGCCTACAAAAAAATAATACCTCTAAGTTTGTAACACTCTATCTCCTAAATAATCTTTCAATAGCAGAAATCGTGTTTCACACAATTTTTTCCCAATAGCAGTGCCAGGCCAAGAGGCACCTTTTATGTTCATTGACACCCATCTTCGAGCACAAGGGCCAACATCAGGGGTATACAGTACACACAGATTGTGAATGGTTTTCTGGTTTCATAAAATTTATATATATAGCATAAACTCCACTGGTCTAATTATAAAGCATTCTACTTATTTAAGCCAAATGATAATTTATATCACAAATTATTTTTAAATTTTGATTTATTTTTAATTTTTTATTATTATATATATTGTCTGAGACAGGGTCTCGCTCTGTCAACCAGGCTGAAGTGCAGTGGCATGATCTCAGCTTACTGCAACCTCGCAGGCTCAACTGATCCTTCTGCCTCAGCCTCACCAGTAGAGGGACTTATAGGCTCACACCACCATGCCTGGCTACCTTCTTTGTATTTTTTGCAGAGACAGGGTTTCACTATGTTGGCCAAGCTTGTCTTGAACTCCTGAGTTCAACTGTTCTGCCTGCCTCAGCCTCCCAAAGTGTTGGGATTATAGGTATGAGCCACTGTGCCCAGTCATATCAGAAGTAGGGGTTAATACCTTGACATTTGTGCATCCATGAATCTCCAAAATCTCATGCACAATTTTGGATCTGCCTGTACTGTATTATTCTAGAAGCAGGAATTTAAACAATTCTCAAATAATCTTTAACTTCAAAATCCACCAAAGGTTAGAAGGCATAATTATAAAAAATTTCTAGGTATATTTTAAAATACAGAGATCGAGACCATCCTGATCAACATGGTGAAACCCTGTCTCTACTAAAAATACAAAAAATTAGCTGGGCATAGTGGCAAGTGCCTGTAATCTCAGCTATTCAGGAGGCTGAGGCAGAAGAATTGCCTGAACCCAGGAGGCGGAGGTTGCAGTGAGCCGAGATCGCGCCATTGCACTCCAGCCTGGGTAACAAGAGCAAAACTCCGTCTCAAAAAAAACAAACAAACAAAAAAAAACCCAGGGATTATTATTATATTGTATTATCCATCCCAAAAACATCAAGATTTCCTATATTGCCCTCCTTCAGAAGGGTGTATAATTACAAAGCAGATATAATACATTCAAAAAAGAGCTCAGTGTTTCCAGGAATACTACTATGAATCCTCTTGTAATTAAAAAAAAAAAAAAAATCACATTTTGCTTTTCTCTTCGTATCTTGGAAGTCCTAAAAAGTAGCAACACTTCAGCAATAATGAGTAGTCCTTGAAAGCCCTATGGTGGCAGAATTCCTGGTTAAAAAACTTAAGAAATGAAAAACACAAGTAAACCCTTGAAAATATTTTCAAACACCTGCAAAAATATTTTTATATTTGGTAAAATAAAATTGAGATAATCCAAAATTGAACCCAAAACATACCTTTTCTTTGATTCGAGCCTCCAAATTGTGACGCTCCCTTTCCATTTCTTCAATTCGACGTGTCATAGGAATCTGCCCTTCTTTAAGTTTTCTGACCTCTTCCTTCACTCGGTCACGAACAAGTTTTACTTCTTCATATTCCTGACGAACATTTTCATATTCCTTGCAAATAATTCAACAATTGCAGTTAATGAACTAGCTTAAACTAACACATATACTAAAATCAAGATACAGGCAGCAACCAAATCTAAGAAAAGATTGTTTTGATATTCCTTTGGCAGTTCTATTAATGTGAAATTTGTCCTCTGAGACACCTTCAGAAAGAGTAAATACCAATGTAATGGTTTAATAACAGTCTTGATAATCACTGAGCATTTACTTCTATCACTAGTTCACATTCTTGGACTTCCACCTTGTTCTCTGAAACATATCCGAATGGCTATGAAAATGTGACTTACCTCTAATCCATCAATAAAGAAGAGATACAGGGATGTATGAAGAAGCAAAAGAAACTCAAGTATATTAAGGGTAAAAATGAAAAAAAAAGAACAAAAGAAAAATGGGTCAAAACAAAAAGAAAAAGCAGCATGTAGGTAAAAGTGATGTCTGTCATGTCACAGGAGTATCTGCTAAACAAAGATTAAGTGGCACACTAGGACAACATATAAGAGAGAATGGGAAGATGGTAAGAAAAGAAAAAATGAATAAACATAAGAGTAAATAAAAAAGAAGAAAAATGAAAAAAGGCAAATCAATCTTAGAAAAAAATCGGAAAAATCAAAAGATAAACTGAGTGAAGCAGTAATAATGGACACAGAGAAAATGAAAGTTAGAAAAGCTGAAGAAAGGAAAATTTAAGAATCATGAAATGATGGAACAAGGTAGGGAGAAGCGGGGAAGACAGAACAAGAATGCCACAAATATAGCCACTTCAAGCTATAACAATTATTTTCATTCTAACTTTGGAACAAACACTACAAAACTTTCTTACCTAACTTGTTCTACCTATTATAAAGTAATGCAATGAGGGAAGTGAATCTTTAATCTGAACTATAGTCTTAAATTACAAATTAACATCACAGAGTGATTAGAAAGAACAGATTAGCCTCAGGAAAATTATAAAACATGTGAGTAAAAGATTATAGTTAAAATACATCAGCTGCATCTGTAACTGAGGCTAATACTTGTGGCAAACCCCAAATAAATCCTTAGTGACATGACTGAAGACACTCAGATTTAATTTTCTGATCATTAACATCTTAAAAACCAATCAAAGAACTATCTGTTGAGGATGAAAATCTGAAAGAAGAGCACTGCGTTAATTATTATTTATTATACGGTGATACTAGCACACAGCTAATGTAATAAACTAGTAAAAGATAGTCTGGTGTGGTGGCTAATGCCTGTAATCCCAGCACTTTGGGGAGGCAGAGCCTGAACAACATGGTGTAACCCCATCTCGACTAAAAATACAAAAATAAAATCAGCCAGGCATAGTGGCACATGCCTATAATACCAACTACTGGGAGGCTGAGGCAGGGGAATTGCTTGAACCCCGGAGGCAGAGGTTGCAGTGAGCCGAGATCGCACTATTGCACTCCAGACTGGGTGACAGAGCAAGACACCATCTCAAAAAAAAAAAAGACATGAATTTTATTATGTATAACATAAAGCCAAAAATGAAAAAGAAGCACCTAACTTGAATACACAGTAATTAATGCTTTCATTACAATTACTCTGTTACTTAAAGAAATAATCTATTTTGCCTCTAAAAATTATGACTTACCACCCATGGCCTTTTTGCTTCAAGCATCTCAATCAAATCTAAATGTCGCTTCCGTTCGTAGAACCTCTCCACATCTTGTTTATATCTTTCATTCCTCTGAACCATTTTCTGTAGATATTCAGTTTTCTCTTTGCATGAGGTCTACAATAAATATATGTTGAACAATCAGTTTAACTGAAAAAAGACAACAGGTCAAATCTTTTAACAATGAAAAATAAACAATGATAGCAAAATTTCACAATAAAAAATTCACAATTCTTAAGAACTATGTAGACTCCAGCCTGGGCAACCGTGAAACCCTGTCTCAAAAAAAACCCAAAACCTGTGTAAAAGTAACGTTCATATCCAAGTTCTGCTCTAGAGTCTACAATTTATTAACATTAACTATAAAGAAGCCCTGCCACATCTGAGTCCAAGCTCTTCTTGTCCAAAGATAAGAGACGTATCTGCTCCATCCACTTGAAGGGTAGAAGCAATTCACTTAATATACATGAAAGCTAGACGAAAGCTGTAAAAGCGATACACAAATGAAAAGTAGTATTACTAGGATTAGTATGTTAAACAAACACTCATGACTGAAAGGTCTTAGAAACTAGATTAAAGAAAGCTAAGAATTAGCTTTTATGTTGTGAATTAATAAATACAAAGATGTACTCAAAACCTAGTAGAATATATGCTTGCATGCTTGTTTTCTTTCAGAGGATGGTCGAGAGTGTAGTTAAGTGTTTCAAGTGAAAGTATTAGATTGTTTGATGTAGAGAAAGATAGAAGAACACAATATCTGAAGTAGGATAAAATAATTATAAAAAGCTCAGAAGAATTCCTTTGATTATTCACTTTGAGTAAGGATAATAACAACATTCTCTTCCCTGTCTGGTGGACAAATGTAAAACAATAACATTTAATTATAGTAAAATACATATTATTAAGTATAGAAAAAGCAATTGGTTCCAAGATTTCTATGCTTACTACCTGGCTGACACACCAAATCCCTGTGACACAACATACCTTTTTAACAAACCTGCAGATGTACCCCTGAACCTAAAATTTAAAATAAATATTATAAATAATTTTAAAAAAGGATTTCCTTTTTTTTTTTTGAGACAGAGTTTCATTCTTGTTGCCCAGGCTGGAGTGAAATGCCACAATCTCGGCTCACTGCAACCTCCGCCTCCCAGGTTCAAGCGATTCTTCTGCCTCAGTCTCCCAAGTAGCTGGGACTACAGTGCCCACCACCATGCCTGGCTAATTTTTGTGTTTTTAGTAGAGACAGGGTTTCACCATGTTGGCCAGGCTGGTCTGGAACTCCTGACCTCAGGTGATCTATATGCCTTGACTTCCTAAAGTGCTGGGATTTCAGGTGTGGGCCACAACCCCTGGCCAGATTTCCCTTTTTTTGGGACAGGGTCTCACTCTGTCACCCAGGCTGGAATACAGTGGTACAATCATAACTCACTGCAGCCTTGACCTTCTTGGCCCAAGCAATTCTTCCACCTCAGCCTCCCAAGTGCTAGAAGTACAGGCATGCACCACCATGCCTGGCTAATTTTTGTTATTTATTTTTTTGTAGAGACAGGGTCTCCTTGTGTTGCCCAGGCTGGTCTTGAACTCCTGGACTCAAGCGACTGTACTGGGATTGGAGGTCTGAGCCACAAAACCCAGATTAAAAGATTTATTTTAGTTGCTGGGATATAGAAAAAAGATCCATTAAATAAAACACCTTTACAAAGGATATGCTATAAAAGAATATTTTTATGTTTATTAAAGGTGAAAATAATCAATAATATTCCAATTAAATGTATAATTCTCTTGCAAAGTCTATATTCTCTTGCAATATGTACAGTATTCTTACACATAGCAGGTGTTTGTGCCAGGCCCTATGTAGATAATGAATGAATGAATGAAAGAACACTGGAATTTCCTAAGATAAAATTTTTTTTTATAATACTATTATTGGTTCCTTAAAAATTCAATTAACATTGCTTGTAGCCATTACTGGGGAAATAAATAAATAATTCAATTAACAGTATGTATTTGTTGAAATAGTCAACCTTTTTAAACTTCACATTATCAAATCCATTCTCACTCTGTCACTTTAACCAATGATATTAGCAGTACAATCCTTAGGTGGAAAAAAAAATCACAAATATAAATTCACTCAATGAATAAATACTACTATTCACTCTCACACATTTTGAGATACAGAAATCAGTAAGAAACAATACAAATGAGTTGCCTATTTTAAAGTACCTCAAGCTGTTTTTCTTTTTCCCTGAAGTTTTTTAGTTCACAGTGATATCTGTGCATTTCTGGGGGACCAATGGACTTTTCAGTGGCTTCAAGTAGTTCAATTTTGCTGAGTTTAGCAAATTCTCCAACTTTGTCCTAGAGCACAAAAATTAAATATTAGCAACTATCATTTATCTACAAATATCTTCAAAATGTATTTCACTCAATGCTTACACTTGTTAAGGTAAAACTCATTTAAAAAAACCTTTGATATAGAAACCGTCTGAAACTTATTCTTTAGGAAAATGAAGATAAACTTAAGAGTATAAATTGTTATCTTTTTGATCATCTTTAAAAATTTTTCTATGCCAGTATTTCAAGGTTGAAATGTTCATACACGTGTAATAAAAATTTGAGAATAAAAGAACACATAGACCCAATATGAAAATGATCACAGTCTATCACTTGAAATGTTAGAGGGTTTAAAAAGAAAAAAAAGGCAATTTCAAACATCTGCTTCTGGAGATAATCTGACATCAACTGATGAGTGTTAAATAAAAAGCTTTAAAATGTTTGTTTTATTTAATTTGCACATTATGAAATCATCACCATGTTTTTGAACAAAAAGAAATAGTCACTAGACAGCATTCAAAGTCAAATTTAAGAGGTAATATGACTTCAACATACATTATCAGCATTTTTATTTTTAATAAACAAAGTATAACAAGATTTTAGAAGGTATAAGAGTTTTAGTGTAACTAATATTTTACACAAATACATTGACTAAAAAGTTGTTTATTAACAACATTTTAAGGGTCTACAAATAGAAGCACATAGCTGAGCTACTCTCTGAACTTAAAAATAATACAAGTTTATTTCAAAATACTCTAATTTAGACTTTACTAATTGAAATTTTCCAAATTACTACAAATTATTAACATTATACTCTTAAGTGATGAAATGCAACCTTTACAAAGAAATGTAAGAGTCCTCTGTTCAATTTAGTCAGAAATGTAAGAGTCCTCTGTTCAATTTAGTCATTATGATAGCCCTTCTACGGCATAAAAAGCAAACACTATATACAAAATTTTCCCATCTTTGCATTTATTTCTCTCGTACCTGAGGTAGAAACTGGCAAAGATTCCCCACTTGAATATTTAAGGCTGCAACTTGCTCTTCCACTACTTTCTGGGTGGTAGATTTTTTGTTGATGAACCAAAAGGACTGATTTTTTGCCACATCAATCTCACGGGTGATTACAAGATTTCCAGAAGCTCTGAACCTAATTAAAAAATAATTTAAGAATCTTTATATTATTATCAAAATACATACATTAGCTTTGAGATAAAATTTCCAAAGCTGTCTTGCACCAAAGGTGCCATATAGATTATTATAATTTTTATTCCTTTTGATATTTTGGCCCCTCCCAAGAAAACCTTGGCATTTTTTAAGTAATACCATAAGTGACCACATCAGTTACTTACTCAACATTCAAAATTATTTAAGCTATTAAAACAAATGTCAATACTAATTCACAAACACTACTTGAGGAGTCGCATATCTGGAGTTGTTTATCCTTCAATTATGATGCTAGTCTTCAATTACATGTGCTGACTGCAACCCAAAAGGTGTTGGTATATTAAAGGGTAGAGCAGTTAAACCTTGAAACTCCCCCTGCTCAGAAGATGTATGAATGAAAACTGACTTTTAGGCATGTCCAGAAATCAGAACTACCCATACAGGTAGCCCATGGATTCCTCACCATGTCCTCCACTCTGAATTCAGAGAGGATTACATTACATGGATATAAAGGAAGATTAAGCAATACAGAATCTGAAAGAAGGGTATTTACTTATTTCTCGATTTTAGAAGTACCACTGCTCCACACCTCCCATCTATTCATCCATCTTCTTCACTGGGATTCAGCAGCATGTGGTAGAAAGATAAATTATTGGTATCCAATCGCTAAATGACAATAATAACTTATAAATGCTGTATACATAGATTACATTGTAATCAGGCCACTTGAAACAGTAAGATTTTAGGACTTTAAAGGAGGTATTTTAAACTTTCATTTCCAGGAGAATGATTAATAAAGTACCCTATTGATCCTCCTGCTGTAAACAACTAAAAACAAGTATCTTAATAAATGAATTTATCCGTTAGCATCAGAGTAAGGAATTCTGGCTAACATCCTAGTACAGGTGGAAACCCAGAGTAGAAAAATAAAACTGGCTTTCATCTTGAGGGGATTTGCCCAACCAGGTGATCTTGAGAATTCATTTTCATGATCTGCTGGTAGAGGACAAAAACAGACAAAGCCCATAGCCATGTAAGAGGGAGACTCCAACTGAAAGCCATACCTAAGGGACATACCCTTTGTAAGGGTAAATTAGGAATACTTCATTGCTACCACCATAAGCTGAGAATTCTATACACCGTGATTCTGAACTGAAAGGATTCAATGGTCTCTGGCAGAAGTTAGTAATCTCCTCTGCCAGAATCTATGTTATCTTCAAAGAATTAACACAGATTAAGTTCAAAGGAGAAGAGTAGCTTACTAGAAACATGCACACAAGAAAACAAAGCATCAAGAACACTAGCAGAAATAGCAATGCAAAATATGAAAGATATCTGGACGACTAAGAAAGCTTAAAACGTCTAATAAGAATTCTAGGACAGGAGACAGAGAATGGGTCAATAGCAATATTTAAAGAGATCATAAATAAGAACTTTGCAAAACAACAAATCACAGGTTTAAGAGTCTCTTTAAATACCAAGAAAAATAAATAAATAATAAATCCACGCCTAAATATATATGAAACTAAAACACTTGGAAAAAAAAAGAAAATTAATTTACAAGCATCTTGAGAAAAAGAGAATGATTACTATCAAATAAACTCAAATCAGATTCACATCAGACAACAACAATGGGGCCAGATGTGGTGGCTCTTGCCTGTAATCTCAGTATTCTGGAAGGCCAAGGTGGAAGGATCACCTGATCCCAGGAGTTCAAGACCTGTCTCAGTAACATGGTGAAACTCCATTCTCTATAAAAAATAAGAAAAGCTGGGCATGGTAGTGAGTTGCCTGTAGGCTGAGGCAGGAGGATCACTTGAACCAGGGAAGTTGAGGATGCAGTGAGTCATGATCGTGGCCACTACGCTCTACCTGGGTGACAGAGTAAGACCCTGTTGCCAAAACAAAACAAAACAAAACAGGAAGACAACAACGGTATTATACTATGATACTTCAAATATTTGAGAAGAGACCTGTCAATATAGAATTTTATATCCACGAAACAAATCTTTCAAGATTTAGAGCAAAATAACATCATTTTCAAATTAAAAACTGAGTGTTCCAACAGAAAGCCCTCATAAAACAAAACTTTAAAGAATATCCTTTTGGCAGAAAGTGATCCCACAGAGAAAATCAGAAATGGAAGAAGGAATGAAAAGCAAAACAAACAGAAATAGCTAAGGTAATTTTAAACAAACACGGACAACATAATTAATATATCATATTATTAATAATAATGTCTTGAAGAGTTTTAAAAAGACAGAAATTTAAAAGCATGTAAGTTCAGGGAAGTTATTAAGAACAAAGTTATAGCACTTTGTTAGTGCTATAGTCCAAATATTCAGTCTGGACTTCAGTAAGGATTCCTGCTAAAATTCTAGTAACCACTAAAACAAAAGAATGCAAGATGACAAGGAAAAATGAAAGAAATATCTGACAAAAACAAGCAAGAAAAGAAATGATGAAGAGTGTGAAAAACAAAAAGCAGAGAATAAGATAGTAAAAATAAGTTTGAACATAAATTATATTTGTAGATTGATTATATGCTTTACTTAAATGACTACAGAAAAAAATAACACAGCTATTCTAGTTTAAATAAGGTAACAAAAGATATTAAAAACATGAAATGAATGAAAAAAGACAACTAGAAAAATCCTAGGGGAAAAAAAAGATGCTAACTACATTAATGGCAAACTAAATGGACTTTAAGGCAAAAGAAAGATCAAGGTCAGCATCTAACAATGCGAAGTTGAAATCACCAGAAAGATAAACAATTTGAATCTTAGATGCAACTAATAATGTCCTAGAAATACATAAAGCAAAAATTGACAGGACAAGGATAATTAACAAATCTGCATAGAGAAATAGTGTAACCTTTATCAGTAATTAAGGAATCAATCTGACAACTGAAATCAACAAAAATATAGAAGATTGACAATGTAACTAATAAACTTGAACTAATGGACACATACAGAACACTGCAGATATCTACAAGAGAAAACTTATTCTTTCAGCCAAAGAACAATTACAAAAGTTCACTACAAAAAGAAAGAAATTTCAAAGGATTAGTAACATAAAACCAGTACTCTATGTATTTAACTGCAATACAATCAAAGTGGAAACTAATACTAAAAAATAAGAAAATCACTACATTAGAATTAGAAACAACTTCTAATTACAAACTCATAAAGAAAATACTCAGAACTGAAAAACAGTAAATACTATATACTAACATTGGAGAGAGAGAGCTAAGGCAATACTAAGGGGGACATTTGTAACCTTAACTGTTCACATTAGGGTAAACAAAAGACTGAAAATTAGTGTGATAAATATCCATTTCAAAAAATGATTATCAGTCAAGGTAAGAATAGAAATTAATGAAACAGAAAACCATGATATAAAACAAATACAAAAGTTAGTTCACTGAAAAAAAAACTACTAAAATTGACAAATCAATTTTTAGAAGACACTTAAATACTGTCATATATAAGATAATACATATATATTAAAAACTCATATAAGAGGATGGTGTTCATGTCAATAAAACTTAAAACTAAGAAAAATGGGAGCATTCTTTACAAAATATAAATAATCACAGTGATCCAAGAAGAAACCCATTTATTACAAATAAATGAAATCAGTAGTTAGAAAAAAAATGAAATTAGTAGTTAGAAAAGAAAAAAGAGCCAGATTATTATTATTATTTTTTTTGCAAGACACCCTACAATACACAGATTATTTTTGGCAGTAAGTTTAACCAAACATTCAAACCACAAATATCTTTCACAAACGAAATACAGATGTAAAAATCCTAAATAAAATATTAGAAAACCAATCTAGCAATGCATCAAAAACTATGACCAAACTGGGTTATTCTAAGAATGCAAAATTGAGCCAACATTGCAGAATTAATTAATTCTTCAATTTAAATGATATGGCCAACGCAATAAATACTGATGATGAACTCTTTGTTCTCAATTTACTTGACTTATCACCAGTATCAGACACAGCTGATGGACAACTGACTCCTGAAGTTGTTCCAAGTACTGGTTTCCAGGTACTGTATTCTTCCAACTCACTAGCTAATTCTGTTTCCTTTCCTAGTTTTCCCTATGTTCAATCTCTAAACGGTGCACTGTAGCAGATAAGTTCTTAGAACTCTTCTTTATGTATCTCTGAATCATTGGTGATTTAACCCATCATAATACTAATGACTTCCCAAATGTGTTATTTTCTGCCCAGACTTCTCCCAGAATGACAGGTTTATCTATTATCTAACTGCCCATTAAACCTGAAATTCAGACACGTGTGTGTGTGTGTGTGTGTGTGTGTGTGTGTGTGTCGAAATCCTGAGTTCAAGCAATCCTCCTGCCTACCCCTCCCTAAATGCTGGGATTATAGGCATGAGCCACCATGACCAGCTCTGATTAAATATCTACTAGGCATCTCAATTCTATCATGTTTGATTCTGAAAAGTACCTTTTTTAAAAAAACCTATTAACATCTCTGAAATTGGGATGCACATTTCAAACTATCTGTGCTAGTTTAATTTTAATTGGATGCTATATCATACAAGTGGTGGCATCTCAGTTCAATGATGTGATCTACTCTAAAATGATCTACTGATCAATCTTACTCTCAAAACCTTCTGCAGTAGGTCTGTCTGCCTCAGTTAATGGATACTCTTCCCTTAATCATGCCAGACACCTTAGAGTCCTCCCTGATGTCTTGCTCCTTCTCCCACACCCTACATATAATTCATAAGCAGATCATAAGCTACTATCATCTCTCATAGGGTTGTTCTATTAGTCACTTAACTGATATTCTTGCTTTTGTCTTTGCTCTCTTAAAGTCTACTTTCCACACAGCAACCCAATCTAGTTAAACTTTTAATTTACATCACATCATTCCTCTGCTAAAAACCTGGTAGCTTCACAGCTTATGCAAAATAAATGCCAAGCCTTACACTGAAAATAGCCTTGACTCCCTGATATTTTCACAGCTTACCTTTTACTATTTTCCTTCAATTCGATCCAGTCACTGTGAGTACCACTTCAGAGCCTTAGCATTTGCAGATCCCTATACGTAAAATAATATCCCCCCAATTATCTCCATGCTCATTACCTTCCCTCCTTCTGGTCTTTGCTTAAATGCTATCTTCTCAGTGAGATCTTTTCTGATCAGCCTATTTAGAACTGTAAAACTCTACTCTGACACTCTTATCTTCCTTTCCTGTTTTATTTTTCTACGTAGCACTTATCACAACCTAACATAATATATAGTTTACTTTTCTAAATGTCCCCCCCCCCCACTTATTCCAATGATAAATTCCATGAGGGAAGAGCACTATATCCCCAATATATAGGTACTCAATAAATATTTGAAAATGACTACATAAATATACACCAGAGATTATTCTATCCACCATTCTACTCAAGGAATACATGGCCATTTGGTACTCTCAGGCCATGTGCATCTTCATGGAAAAAGTGCTCAACATTGATACACTTAAATTTTATTTATGTGTAGGGAGTTAGGTAAAGCTCTAAATTTATCTTTAAAAAATTAACAATTACCTCCACTCAATTGAAATAATTTATACTATCATATTGTGATACACAGGTTAAGTATCCCTAGTCCAAAAATCTGAAATGCTCCAAAATCCAAAACTTCTTTCATGCCAACATGACACTCAATGGTAATGCTCATTGAGGTGCTTTGTATTCAGATTTTCAGATTGGGGATGATGAAATGATAAGTATAACGCAAATATTCTAAACTTAAATCCAAAACACTTCTGGTCCCAAGCACTGCATTTAAGGAATATTCAACCTGTAATAAGAAATATGTGGGCCGAGCATGGTGGCTTATGCCTGTAATCCCAGCACTTTGAAAGGCTAAGGCAGGTACATCACTTGAGGTCAGAAGTTCGAGACTAGCCTGGCCAGCATGGTGAAACCCCATCTTTACTAAAAATACAAAGATTAGCAGGGCGCAGTGGTGGGCACCTGTAATCCCAGCTACTTGGGAGGCTGAGGCAGAAGAATTGCTTGAGCCTGGGAGACGGAGGTTACAGTGAGCCGGGATAGCGCCACTGCACTCCAGCCTGGGCAACAGTGACACTCCGTCTTAAAAAAAAAAAAGAAAGAAATAGGTATTTAGTCTATGTCCTCAATTTCTGACACAAAACTCTCAATCCCTTGGAATTCCCCAGGTGACAAGTGTGTCTCTTTCTAATGAGGCAACTCTTGGTGGGGTCCTGGATGTGGGCTGGTCACGAAAAGATAAAGCCATGAAGAGAAGCTTAGAACCTTTAGCCCCACCAACCTGCCCCTCATGCTCTGGGAAGGAAAGCAAGACTAGAGATTGTGTTTCTCTTACCCATGTGATGAAGCCTCCATAACATTCCCTGAACCATGGGTTTCAGAGAGCT